TCAATCAACCACAGGGCGTGGGTTCTTTCTTACGTGTGTTGGTAGATAAATGTCATAGACCGATCCTGAATCCACATCAAGAGCATGAAATCCAGCACAGGATCCACAGATCACTTTCAACCTCTGGCCTTCCTCCACAGTGAGATCCACCAGTAATGGCATATGTACTAATTCTCCAAATGACTACAAAGAAGTCACCAAGAAAAAGGCACTATGATGAAGCTGAACTTATTTCTAACAGATCACACTAGACAAGCTAGACTCAAGGTACTCAGCTATTCAATTACTGAGCCACACTGCCAACACCCAGAAAGCAAAAGATATTCTATAAAATGAGTCTTTATTATGGGCCGGCCCGTGGCTCACTCGGGAGAGTGCGGTGCTGATAACACCAAGGCCCCNAAAAAATAAGAATTTTGGATGAAAAATTCTTAATTTTTTGCCCTGCACTAAAATGGCCCCAGGAGCTATGACTAAGGTTTTATTTTTAGTATTAGAAATGATGTAATTAAGTTATTTGTAATATTCAATGTCAGGGTAATGTCAATTTTAATTAAGAATTTCATAAAGTTGTATTTAGTACACATTCTAGAATTATCAAAAAGACACTTAAAATACCCACAGAAAATGACTGCTAATTTTCTATGGGTTTGCGGAGAGATCTACTAAAGAACTTTACTTAAACACATTAAAGACCACTAATTTTACTTAAAAAATTGTTTTTTTTGCAACTCTTTAGAAACCTAACCACCAAAGTGAGGTAGGTTTACAACCACGATTACACGTCACGATTACACGTGTATGTGTAAAGTCACAAATGGAAACAATCCTAATTTTAAAACAAAGTGTCCATTCACTTCCTTTCCTAAAACTGTGCACAGGCAAAATGGCAAAAACATCTGAGTTTATATTCTTAATTTAAACAAACATGGGATCATATTACACATACTTTTAACTTGCTTTTTCCATTTAATGTATATCATTAAGAATTTCTGTAATTTAATTTTTAACCAGTACTCTATTGAATAGATACACCTTAAAACTGCTTGTTGGACACTTTTCTGTTATCAAAAACACATGTAAATCTTGATACAAATCCACGATTTAATGTGAGCTCTGCTTTTTTTTTTTTTTTTTTTTTTTTTTTTTTCCTTTTTGAGA